GGCATCGTCATCTTCGATGCACTGAGGCAGCTTCTTCCAGGGATATATTCGAATGCTTACTGGAAAACTGTGAAAAGTGGTGAACTGGTGCATTTCAATATGAAAAAAAGAAAATTTTGAAGCTCAGTAATGTGCTCATTCCGTTCACGTAGACTCACCAATGAAATGATAGGGGGTACCATAGAAAAGGGTGTATGGATCATAAATGTTTTCTGGAACGCAATATAACTGCCCTCCGTTTTCAAATTCCACTGAAATTATTTTTCAAACTCGCTTCAGTAACAACTGCATAAGTCCTTGAAGTGAATAATGAATGCAGGGAAATTTTATTTGCTTCTTGGGTGTTCGGCGATCCCATTTTTTTCAATCGCAACAGGTTACAATTGAATCCGTCGGAAAGGAATCCCAGCATTTCGGCGGCAGTTGCTTCCCAGTTTCTGACACTTCTCACATAGATCTTGAGGGTGGGGCTTGGAGGAATCCGATACATCCATTCCTTCAGGTTTGTCCAAGGGACGCTGCATTCATGAATAAAAGTTTCGCTGTCAATATACTGTACCGGGTGGTCCGAAAAAACGTTCCCAACTTCGTACGGCTGCCAATGGGACACAATGACTAGCATCGTCTTGAAATCTTCAGTGTGTCATACCAAATGTATGCTGGCGGCTTTTGCAAAATTTAAATGAAATTCATTGCTCTGAACATGAGTAAGAGCTTTTTCGGTACAAGTCGCCAAATGAGCTGGTGTGTCAGTGCGTCTGCTGGCATGCTGCTTTGGCGGGCGACTCAAGGAGGAAATATTCATGGAGGACCCATCAAGTTCTTTCACTGATTTCAGGCGCTTTCCTTTGCACACTCGCTCTTTTGACTTCGCGCGGGAGAAAAAAAATGTATTTACATTGTTTACAACTAATTTCAATGGGATTTTTATCACATTCCCTGCAAGCATTGCATGTAAAAGCCTGTAAATTTCCCGTCAATAATTCATTAGGTAAGCCGTCTGCAGGCGTGTAAAGCTCTGAAGGTTTTTTTGGGCCACCCGGTATTTCAATGGTTTCTAACTGGGTTATTTGAATGATTCTTAATTGGTGATTGGATAGATCGACAGTTGAAATCCTTTCCCACTTGCGATTTTTTTTCTGATAAATAATCTTAGATATGTTTGGATTCGAACCAAAATTTATGAACAATCACTGCAATAGATGAACCTAATACATTTTTTGTGAAAATATGCACAACTCCGGTCCAATTAATCCAGGTATTTAGTAGCGAAAATTGTAAATTCGAATCATCTCGTTAGGCGGTTACCTTTAACAAGCGTCAGAATGTTCATGAAACGCTTGCTGTTCATTAGGTAGCCTATGTCCTAGCGAAGACTCAAAAGCTACCAGCTTGATTACCCATTTGTAGCTTTGAACATTGAAATGTGATACCTGTTCGTATGCATACACTTTAGTGCCACATTCCTTGCACTCCTGCCCATAGCCAGCCCAACTGGAAGCACTCTTCCAACTCCTGTTGCATTTTCGACATAAGTATGCTCCGAAGTATCGTTCCTCTGGTTTGACTTTCTGAAATCAGAAGAGATACTTTTGATGTTCAATCAGCGTAATAACTTCACTGTTGGATTGATGATACGGCCAACCAGGAGTTTAGCGACTTGATCAAATTTGGTACAGTAGCTAGTTCAAGCATGCCATGAAATCGATCGGAGTTTCAAGAGTGTAGGTTGAATATTCGCCGAGAGCACTTGCCAAACAATCCAATTTCAATAAAGGCCACGGGGTGATACTACAATTGTCACCGAGTACTTCCTTCGCATGAAACTTTACAAGAAATTTCCTAAAGACTAGAAGGTAGCCTGTGCAAAGGCACGTAAGTATTTAAAGGCAATGAATGCGCACATGGCCATCGGAGGAGGTCGCCCCTCTCCCGCCCCATCAACTAGCCCCTTGTCTGGCCATGTGAGAAGACTGGACGCGGCAAAAGCATCCATAATTTCTCGGTCTTCCCCTGCGTTTTATTAATCGTCATTGCGAAGAACGGAAAACTGAAGCCGAGCGAAGGCGATTGGCGGCCAAAAGATCGAGGCGTTATCTCAAATCGTCGCTTCGAAGAACGATGTGGTATATGGGCTTTTATTGGCTACCTCACACTACTCACATCGCAACACGTCGCGCAAGTTTCCAAACGTTAATGGCCTCGTGTCACACTGCGTGTATCTGTTACTATGGCTATGGGAAAGCGACTGGGCTAAGAAATATCTGGGGATTGCGCTCCCATAGGAACAGTATAGGCATGCGCGCTGTACGTGTAATTGGAAACCATACTTATATGGCTCATGGCGTCTAGTCACCATTCACTCCGTTCCACGTCAAAATATCGACGCCAAAACATCGTCATGAGAAAACCTCGACGAGGAAATACTTCAACGTGACGAAATGAAACGTTGACATGTCAATTCATTTTTCTTGGATTTTTTTCTTTAAGATTGCAAATGTTACATAACTTCCGAAGGGCCTAGCTGCAATCATCTGTCAATCCAGGATGACCGATGAAGATGACATCGTCAGCAAGCATCTTGGAGCTATTCATCCGCCTACAATGTGTCGGAAAATTGTTCGGTTGCAGTTTGTTTCACATCAAAGACGGTTGAAATAAAAAACAAGCATGCGGGCAGATTTCGAATGTCACCGGATTTACATGTGTTTATATGGTACTGTTAAGATTCTGTTATGAAGCGAAAAATGTTAAGTCTTTTAATGGAAGTACCGACTTTTTTACATTTTATTGATGAGTACATTAAATTAAAAGGAGTTCAATTCACGTCAAGAGAAGCGAAATGAAAATATTAAAGAATTAGAATAAGGTATCATATTTTGTAAACAATGAGAAAAGAAGAACATTGAAAAGAGGAGCCCGCCATTGCTCGGTAAATTGTAGCATATCAGCATTACACCTGGAGATAGGGATTATGTGTAATCCTGTGTAAATACTCTTTCAATATTCCCTGCTAATAATCCAAAACATATCCTCGAGCTGTCCTTCATCGGTCATCCGGGGTTGATAGACGATTGCTGCAAGGCCCTTCGGAATTTATTTACTATTCGCAGTCTCAAAAAAAAAATCAAAGGAAAATAGATTGGTATGTCGACGCGTCATTTCGCCCATGTTTTATCTCGTCGATGTTCTGAAATGATACCGAGAAACAGGATGGTTACGACGCGGCCGACGTCGTCTTTCCTATCCAAGAGTAAGCACTCTTGTGCCATACAAGCGGGATCCCGCCGTTTCCACCCACCGGAGTCACTCTCCTTGTGAGTGCCGATCGATAACAGGAAGGCGTTCCAATCGATAAAGGGGTCTGGATCCCGATAAACATATGGGCAGAGATCTCGTACCGGCAAGGAAATCATCCTTCCTCCAAAGATAAAAGGGGACTCTAATGGTCATCGCCAAAAAAAATTCACACCAAGAAGGAGTTGAGCGATCTTGATGAAATTTGGTAAACATACTCGTATTGGCGTGTCATGAGATTGATGCTAGTTTCAAGGTCTTAGACTGAATATTTGCAGAGAAAACTTGCCAAACATCTCAATTTAAATAGGGTCGAAGAGGTCATACTTATCGCCCACATAAAAAATCTAGAAGGAGGTTATTAATGAAATGCAATAAAGGAACTTCTATTGATTGTTAGTATAATGAAGCAAAGTTTCAAGGTCATAGGATGAAGCGATGCAAGGAAAACATGCCGATCTAGCCGAATGCCCAAACGATTTTGAATAGGGTGACTACACTAATCAGGCCAGTTTCCTTTTCTGCTTTCCTCCATTTACTCTGCTTTGCTTCAACCTTTCGCTTTTAAAGCCATGCCAGGATGACGATCGAGGTCAGTTGGTTGGCATGATGGAGGCAGGTCTTAGCATGCATCAGGCAAAGTGTAAATGTGACTACCGTGCGGCGTTGGTGGACTCGGTATCAAAATTGGGCCAACCGTGAACGGCAACGAGGATTAGGCCGTCCTCGCATCATGACTCCCGGGGAAGACCGCTATTCGACGATGCAGATTCTACGAGATCGATTCGCTTCTACCCGTGTTCACGGAAGGTACTGGTGGCTTAGGACGGGAAGTATGACAGGTGGTCTAGACCGCAATGCCAGCAGGATTGTGTGCCGGTACACAGTCCTCAAGGAAGTCTTTTTGCCCGTCCCTAGCCACCATGCCAACTAACCGAACTCGATGGAATTTCTCAAATTGGCGAAATTGCCTTTGTGAACATCATCCTTGCATGGCGTTAAAGACGAAAGAAAAACGATTGAAGCAAAGTGGAGTGAATGGAAAAAAGCATGAATGGAAACTGGCCTTATTAGTGCAGTCGCCCTATTCCCTATCCTTTGGGGCGTTTTGAAAGTAGCAACAATTTCATGGCACACTACTACGAGTATTCTTTACCAAATGTCATCAAGATCGCTCAACTCCTTCTTGGTGTGACTCTTTTTTTTGGCGATGAGTATATAATACGCGGGGACGTTTTACACGTCCCTGCGGAACAGTCCGTTTGATACCCCCCTAGGTAAGGAGCGGGGGGTTGCGTGGAATGTCTCTCTCTCCAGTTGTTAGGTAAGGGATGGTGTGGAAAGAACTATTTGAACGGTTCGGCATCGGTGGTGCAATAGTAGCTCACTTGACCAGAAACGTAGAAGGCGTGGGTTCGATTACAGTGCCTTCCTGCATTTACGAGTACTTTTCGTCTTACGTCATCCGAACTCTGAACTCCACCCCCCCTCACCGGGCTATGACATCCTCGGGAATGTATCCGACATTCGCTGTCTTGTGTGCGCGTGGATGCCACGGACCACCGACCACGGCCACCACGGACCACAGAGGTTTTATTTCATAGATATCCAAAAATATCGGATGAAGTTTCGAGGTCGTGAGATGAGGCATTTTAAAAGGAGTTACGCCAATGGTACTGTATCAGGACCAGACTAATGAATTTTCACTTGAGTAAATTCAGAACATGCCGGTCCTTTGTTTCTCCCACTGGGATCTCTACCTTTCGGTTGGACCTACAAAGCAGTGATGTCCCACAGTTATACTAAGATACCAGTGCAACTGAAATGGAACTTGTATTGTGGCATCATTTTGCATGTTGAAAACAATTTGAATTAAATTTTGTCTTCATGATTATAGCAGGTAAATAATAGGAAAGTATTCAATATATACAGGAAAGGTGAACATTTGAATATTGGGTGCTACTGATCTAATTGCTCCCTTCAACAGCCGCTCAATTAATTGCTTGCTTCGTTTTTGCGTTTCCTCGGACAAATCTAAACAAAGCTGTTCATAATAAATATCAACGTCCTTCCTGCAGGCTTCTCATGTGATATAAATGCAATCTAAAAATGTCACTTATTTGCCAATAGGTTTCAAGCAAGTTAATAATATGAAAATATTTACCTGAAAGGGAAGAACTCGTGTCTTAAGCTCCTTTTTCAACACAAGCCGTTTGTTCTCTCCAATTCGTGCTCTATGAATTTCTTGCTCAGCATTTACGTTTCTCTGGACGGCTCCTCCCTAAAATAAATCCATGAAATCCAAATGGGAACCCCATCCATACAAACTTCAACATGATACGAGGGCAATTCAACCAGTAATAACCGTCCCTGAAAAAGCATGGGTTCTTCTCCTCGAAGACGTTTCTCAAATCAACTCTTCCTACCGGCTCCAGTCCTCAGGTGGTACAATCCTATATTGCATGGCGCACATTCCAGGTTCGAGTCAACAACGAGCTGTCAAATTCTTACACCACTAAAGCTGGAGCACCACAAGAATCAGTCTTGGCACCGCTGCATTTCTTGCGTTACCTCGACTTACCTCAACACATACCATCATATGCACATGTCACCCAATATGCAGATGATGCAGCCATATGGTTCACAAGAAGAAATGAAGAGACATTTTAGGTCATTTTAGGTCATTTCCAATCCCTCACTCTTCAACTCGTCAAGCCCTCTAGATAAACCATAAAAAGGACTTTGATCTCATCCACCCCTTCTTACATCTATGTAGCCACAACTGTCCTAATCGCTTCCATCCCCCACCAATTAAGGCAGCTCAGCGTCAATTTGAAGGATCTCTCTCTTTAGCAAGTCTGCCTTATTAAGCAGCTATCCACTCTCTCTATCAGGACAAGCAGGGAGCGTAATAATGTTTTCTTAACAGCTGGCACTTGTCAATCCCAAGTAGCTCACGGGGCACCTGATAGGTACCTAAAACTTACATGAATGCCATTACTAAAGGGATAGGAATTAATCATATTTTAAAGTGGGTAAAAAATAGCCTCAACGTGCATTTTCATTCTTTAAAAGTTAAAAGAATAGGTCTCATCTTCTTCTAGGCAGGAGAAACCTCGGTCTCCGACCGGGACAATGAGGACCATTCCCATTGTCTAAATCAGCTTCATTAGGGTCTTGCACCTGCGAGCCCTCTCGCAGGAGGGTCTCACCGGGACTGGCGGGACCCCTGATGTGCCCACCATCAGGGAGGGGGGCCAGTCCCTCCATTAGCTCCTATGCTTAAAAAAAAACAAACGCGGATGATTTTATCCGCATAGGAGATCTGGATTATACAGAAAGTGTCTGTCAACATCATTCAATCATACCTCAAATAATTGAAGTAATAAGGGACTAATATTATTTATACTCCACGGAACCTATAATACATGGTCCATTCTCTGACCCATGCTGTAATCAGTACAGGCAGAGGTAGGTCAACGCCTGTACGAGAGCGAAAGCGACACACAGTATATATGAGAATCTTTGTATTTGCACGACATCCCTATAACTTTCTGTTAGGAGTGTTTTTACTCACGGAGGAGGAGAGCAATTTCACTTTCGGTGATTGAGTAATTTCGCTCCTTTCCCGGAGTGAAAGGGGGTGAAACTGGAGTTAGCTATATTACTCTCTTTTTTGAGAAAAATCGCTCCCTTTTCTAAGAGCGTATGAGCCACATGGTTCTATGGGTCGGAATTAGTACTTCAGGGGTCAGTTTTTGGGATGAAAATATGACGGGTTCATCTCTTCATTGACAAAATACACCCTTATAAGTATTGAGGTCTGATCCAAAAACATGAATATACATTGTATGGATTTTCCTGTCTAGCAATTTAGGTCAGAAATACATCATGTTAAAGGCTTGGCGACAGCATATTTAGATCGAAATATATTTTTTGAGAGAGTCAGAACTTGTCACATTTGCTCTGCGCATTTCATTTCTGCCAGCTTGCTTTACGTGTTCGTTAGTGAATGCCATCATCTTCCACCTCACAAACGACACTGGAAAGCAAACAATTTAGGTACTCCACCCCATATATAGCAACGCCTGCCCTAAATAGTTTATAAGGAGGTTGCCTGGAAACGCATTTGCGTGGAGCAAGCACGATCGATCCTTCCAAGAAAGTGTACGGGGAATAGGCATATCAATGGACAAAGGAATATTGATTGAATATGGCGCGAGAATAAGTAGCAGTACTTTTTAAATTTAAAGTACATAACGTTAAAGGTGGAAATGTTCTAAGAAATCGTCCTTCCAAGGGAATATGCAATGCAGTGTCATTTTGAGTTATGGATCTCATAAATTTACGTTTCTCTGGACAGCTCCTCCCTAAAATAAATGCATGAGTTCCAAATGGGAACCCCATCCATGCAAATTTCTAAATGACACGAGGGCTATTCAACAATTAATAATCGTCCCTGAAAAAGCATGGGTTCTTCTCCTCGAAGACGTTTCTGATCTGTACCCCTTTATCTTCTATCAAAGCTCGGTCTTTCAAGAAATTTTAAAGCTTCCAGACCTGTTGCATTGATCTCAAGAATATTCAGGAAAGTACTTGCTTTTTCCTAGTGATCAGATATGACGGTTTCTCAAACATCTGTGTTCGCTTTTAAAAATTTGCCTCGAAACACCTGGGACTGTCTGCTGCTCATATCAAATCGGATCAGAGTGTAATCATGGGGGACTGCTCCCCTTCGGTCGAGACGATTCAGAGGTGGATACGGCTTTTCTCAATAGAGTGTTGCTCCTTTTAAGATGAAGACCGCTCCGGACGCCCTCAACGGTGGTAAACCAGGAAACAATTGCCTCCTAACGTAACGTAGTTGAGGCCGACCCAAAGAAAACCATGTGTTATTTATCCCCCCAAGTTGGAACATTTGGTTGGCACTACACATTCTCTCTGTGAAACTATCTAAACAGCAGAAAAAAAAATTCCTTATGGGTCCCCCATCGATTGATTGGCGATGAAAAGGCTGACAGGGTGGGAATCCGTCCTCGATTGCTGAAAATGTTTAACCCTGATGGCTCAAAACATATCACAGACATCACTACTGGTAGGTAAAACGTGGATTACTCATTTCATCATTCTAAGCAAGCGACACAACAAGTTTCGTTTAGGAGAAGATTAGCCTCAACCAGATGTCCTTAAACCTTGAATTTTTCCAAGCAGATGATTTTTTTTTATTATTTTATTTTAGAACTGAGCTTTTTCAATTAACGAGGGACTGAAACTAAGGACGTATTGCATGAGGTGGTAACAATCACTGGAGGGTTTCACTCGGGTGTTCTGCTCCCCAATTTTAGGCTAAGATAGAAATCCATCTACTACTTGGGTGGCCAACAAAATTTGACGCCATCGTGACAATCCTTCCAGCCATTTTCCAGCCACGTTTTTGGAAGAAAATGAAGCTGAGGTCTTCTCATCCACCCTATTCCATTGATCCCACCATCTTTGACTTCTGTCTGTTGCTCAAGCTCAAACAAAACATGATTGGCAGACACCTTCATTGAATTCAATGCCTTAGCAAGACCATTCAGACGGTGCTTCAAGGAATACTACACAAAGCCAATAAAATGGCATTTCGACGTCGTTCATGAGGATACATAGAGGTGGAAATATTGATTGGGATCGATGGGGTTGAAGTACCTGGAGAGGAAAAACCTGGAGGTTTTAAATACCACTCATTACAAATGATTTTTTTTTAGTTGCGGTCATTACTTAATGAACATCCCATGCATTTTTGTGCAATTCCAATCAGAATATTTTTCTTACCTGAGGGGCGTAAATGCGAGGCGGTGGCTCCCTATTCATCATATATGGCCTGATCCCATTTCTCCTCGAATCTTGAACTTCTTGTTTTGAGGATATATTTCTCGTAGGAATTTTATCCTATGGAATCAATCGAACGAAGAAATCGTGAAAATTAGAAGGAAATAAATACTGCGACAATAGGGGTCAAATGGGACCAAATCTTGAACTTCTTGTTTTGAGGATATATTTCTCGTAGGAATTTTATCCTATGGAATCAATCGAACGAAGAAATCGTGAAAATTAAAAGGAAATAAATACTGCGACAATAGGGGTCAAATGGGACCAAAACGGGCCAGGTTGCTGCACGATTTCACCTATCTCACCTAATGCACTAAATTCTCAAGCGCTTCTTCCATCCAGATGCTGAGAACCTAATCTTATGTTTGATAGATCCTGTTTCTAGATGCTATTGGATTCATTCTCTCTAATAATAATGGCCGTTATTTTTCCGTAATATCCATTAAAAAATGATTTTCGCATACACCCAACAAACCTTATGGACCACCTAGCTAATATACCTTTCACCTGTTGAGTACTCCTTCATAATTATGAGAATCACTCTCCTTCTGATTCTTTCCCAGGGAAGGTGACATCCTTGGTAGACGTACTAATTAGAAATTATGTCATAATACCACTTTAATCCCGAAGTAGTTGCTATTTCTCAAAGGTTTGCAGCAAATAAAGATATATATATATCCTGAAATTAAATGGAATATTAAAAAAAGTAAAATGTACCTGAGGTCGGGGACGTTGAGTCTCAGGCTCCCTTCTTAGATATTGTTGGCTCGCCTCGCACCTGGTCTGTTGTGTACTTGTTGGTCGCGTCCTTGTCGCATTCCAGTGGGCAGTTTCACCCTGCGCGACCAAAAAATTTAACGAATCGGGAAATCCATCTCCTTTTGTTCATTTATTTCCATATGGATTAAACCAGTGGTGCCCAACCTTTACGGCTAGGGGGCGACATAGCTCACTCACACTGTCATCGCGGGCCAGTCACTAGTATTGTATGATACTATTTTAAGGAAACCTAGGGGAATTTATTGTGAGTGAGGGCCTCGAGGGCCACTTTCTGCCCGCGCGTCACGGGTTGGGCACCACAAAATTAAACACCCCTTGAGAGGAATTTTCACCTGAGACCCGTAGTTCTGAATTCGAGGATTCGGAATCTCCTGTGGGTGGCTCTGATTCTTTCCTTTTCCAGCAAACAACCGAAGTAACCAACATTTCTTCTTGTTGCGTCGTGCCACATGAGACTCGTCCTCGTCCCCACGTGCTCCGCAGGTGAAACACCACAACAACCAACGCCTCCTCATCTTCTCTATGCTGCGAGGAAAAGAGAACCAACCATGAATACATCCAGTAAGCGCCTTACTTGAAGTTGAAACGCTGGAAGGGCTGGAAGCCATTACTTAAGGCTCTCTACTTGGTGGGTGACGGTGACTGCTTCCCTTCACATCCCATATACTGTTCCAGAAATCGCCTATGTTGATCCATTTGACCACATGAAAAGAGGTGCCAATTTCTCAGGACGCAGTCAATCAAGTTGCCAAGCAAGAAACTGAGATACATTCTGTTCCATCGCATAGAGCATGCAAGACTCTTATCACAAGTGACCGAAAGCAGAGTAACGTTGTTAGATAGCTAGATGTTCCATTCTCCTAGATAATGGTTATCATTCAAAAATGTCTGAGATAACTCCTATCGTTGCGTTACTCATTGGGCACATTTGTCGGCAAAAATGGTTGGACACCATAGACCTACCTGCTGTTTGGATTCCGAAAGTATCCACAGGAGGGAAATATTGGAGAAATTTCAGCTGTGGAGACAAAAAATAGGACAACATTGAACATGTTCAAATGGACCAGTAACACACACCCTAAAAAATGCTGCTGAATGTGGCGGCTGAACATTTGGGCACTCTTCACGACAAGTTTAAGCACCACTTCGAGTTGACCACCACGGAGCAGTCTGACCGGATTCGCAATCCATTCGCTTCATCCCGCAGAGGGATCAGTCCATGTGCTTTCTCTGAAGGCTCGAGAGGAAGTTCTAGACGGTAGAAGCAGGCTCAAACTCAAGGTCGGCGAGGTGCCGCTGGACGCTTGTGGCTGGAAGCGAAAAATGAGCCTGGATGAGGAACTTTGTGTAGCTCTTTCCGGCGAAAAGGCGAACATGAAACGCCTCCGTTCCGCAAGGCAGATTCGAGGGTCTCATCAGTGTGAAAGGAAAGTTTGGGGCCTTTAGTTCCTCACTTGATTGCTTCTGGAAACTTTTTTTTAAATAAATCATTAGATTGCCTTTTAATCCTTAATGACATGTTTGAGAGCAGGGTTTTCAAAAAGAATAATTATTTAATCTCTTTTATTGACTGGATGGAATAAGTGGCTTTCATAATAAAGCTTCCATTTAATTTGCTTGAAATATTTCGAAAACCATTGAAATATTTAAGCTATTTTAAATGCACCACGTTAGTCATAATTTGTTCCATAAATATGGAAAAGGTTATATTTTTTTCTCTTACTTTCATTGACAAATGGGTGATGAGACTGAAATTTGAGATGAGACTATTGACGAGAGATGAGAAATTTGATGAGACTGCACTATGACGTTGCGATACGAGAACTTGGATATCGTTCTGTTCTCGTGTGGAGTTTTCGATTAAACAAAAAAAGAAGGAAAAGGGAGCATGTTTATGAATGCAGTTGGATATATTGGAGGCAGGGCAGTCGATCAGTGACGGAGAATTTAATATATTTATATGAATTTTTATTTGTAATTTTCATGGATGCACTTCATTAAGCTGGCTATGACGCACACGGAGAACGCATTGATCGCTCGGGAAAGGTTTTTTTTCTCGTTTTCCTAGCAATTTCCTCGAAATTTCATGAGTTACGCGTGAAGATGACGACAAAATGAAAACCACAAATTGAGTACTTACGCCGTGCTCTTAGGTTGATCTCCGAAATTAAACTTTTTTGCCAATTCATCTCAAATGAACGCCCCCCCCCCCCCCCAAAAAAAAAAAACCTCTTTGAAAATAGGTAAGCCGTCCTCGAAAGACTTCATGTGTTACTTGGGCATTGCCATACATGCAAGGCGTTCGGCGAACGCTATAAGGCCCACCGTGTTGCACATCTGCAAGGAAACACACCAGGGGGATAGGTTTCATCTTTCCAGATATGCCCGATTAGGCACGAACTCCACCAACCGGCGGCAAAAATTTTCCCACGTTGCGTTTAAATACGAACCGTATATGGGTATATATAAAATGAACAGGTCTCAATTTACTGTGATTACCGTTAGCATGAAACCATTTAATAAAACCCCGTGTCAAATAAAAATAACTTCGTGAAACCCCTGAGCCGAAATTGAACACAGAACGCGCTGATACGCTTTGTGAAAGCCTATTTCACCCCGCACGTCAATGGAGCGGGGTGCCAATAAAGCAACGAAAAATAGAAAAACAGCACCTTCCACTCATTGCTACAGTTTAAAAGCGGCATGTCACAAGGAGCGCACTTTCAACCCTGTGAAACAACGTTCCCACTCCACACCGGCGCACAGAAGGGAGACCGCAAATCGCCCGAATGCGGGGCAGTCCCAGTCTTAGAAACGTCGACGGCTTGCTTCGCGGTTCAGACCGGAGGAAGACGGGGAAAACGCTGCATGTGCATTTAGTCAAGAACTGCAAATCGCATTCTTACTGCAAATTTCAGTCTTCCATATAGTATACTTTCACATTTTCCTACTTACCAAAGCGATTACAACATGAGGATGCAGAAATCACACAACCTTTCAAGAACTCCCTCGCGCTATTCCAATTCCTGGCATTCTTCTTGATCGCTTTGAAAGAACTAAAAGTGATCCAAGTCGATCCGATAATTCTGCAAACCTGTAATTCCACAGTTTGAGAGGTGGCCTCCCACGAGGATACTACGGTAATTCATTCGGCCCCCATGAACGCAAGCGGCGACGAAATGACAAACCGCCTCGTATTTCATCATGTACGCTTGAAATCGGGAGGCACTGTGGTGAGCGACGCTGCCGTCACCTGACGAGTACAACGAGAACTCTCGTCTCTATTTTCATTCTTGAGATGGAGAGACGAGAGCGAATATCCGATCTTCCAAGAAGAACGGCGAGACGGCGGCGAAGATTCCCTCGCGCGAGTGAAGCCTCTCGTCTGGGTCCTGAGGACGCTTTTGCAATGTTCCTTGCCAAGTTCTGCCGATCGTCCGAGGCCTTCTCCATATTCCTCGTGTTTTCGATGATGGCACCAGTTGACGTTTCTCTCCGAGGACACCAGGTGTTGTGCGCAGGACACTGTGTGAATCCGCAAAGTGAAAGTGGAGACCCGAGAGAATCCGGAAGAATATACGAGGGGCATTTCGTGAATTCTGCGCAGAATTTTTTTTTTCCTCTTTTATCGACAATTAATCCAACGGACTACATCTCTAGGTCTTCTACATATTCTCCTTCCTTAGCAACGCAGGACTCCCGACGGTGTGGAAGGTTGTGAATGTAAATTCGCAATTTGCATGGAGCCTTCAATTTGGATCTCGACGCTGAGGGTAAGATAAGTAAATTTGCTGATGATTTCCAATTTTTTCAAAGGTTTTTCCATAAGGTGTGAGGCGGATAGGACTAGAGCCGAGCGTGATTTCAGTCTTTTGGATGAGTGGAGCAAAAAATGCTCGTGAGGTTAAATGAAAATATATGTAAAGGTCTCTCGAGGCGTTCGGCTGGGAAAAACTGGGCGAAGCAAACGGAGAGCCATATTTACGAATTTTCTATCGACGATGACCTGGAGTTTTCCTCGCACGCGCAAGCGACGGTGACCAAATGTAAAGGATGTTAGAATTCATTCGTCGTTCTGTTGGAAGTAGGAAATCGAGCGTTATTCTTCCATTTCATGTGACGTTTTATTCCAAACCCTGTTGGGATATTGCATCCAGTTTTGGTTAGGGGACTTCCGTGCGAGAAGCGTTTAGAAGTGACTCTACGAGAGAGAGAGAAGATTAAGGAGGAGCGATCTCGTCCAGGCTTTCAAGATGAAGGAATTGATAATGTAAAGCATGGTAGGTTCTTCCAGGTCGATGGCAGCAAGAAAACGAAGGATGAACAGCTCGAGTTGCGTAAACCGCAGGTGCGGCTCAGGTCGAGACAGGACGTTTTTACTTGTACTGTAGAGTGGCAAATGCGTGGAATGCGTTACAGGACGTAGTGGTTGCCCCGTGCTGTGACCATTTTTAGGAGAAACTAGATGCATTTATGGACAAGCAAGAAAGGGGCGGGGCAATATTGTCGCAAGGGATAAGGCAGTAAGCCACTGGGATATGCTCAATATAACAAACATAATAATACAAAAATAGTTCGCTTGTTCGTTTTTGGAAGATAATGAAGCTGAGGTCTTCTCATCCACCCTATTGCATTGATCCCACCATCTTGGACTTCTGTCTGTTGCTCAAGCTCAAACAAAACATGATTGGCAGACACCTTCATTGAATTAAATGCCATAGCAAGGCCATTCAGACGGTGCTTCAAGGAATGCTACACAGAGCCAATAAAATGGCATTTCGACGGCGTTCATGAGGATACATAGAGGTGGAAATATTGATTGGGATCGATGGGGTTGAAGGACCCTGGAGGTTTTAAATACCACTCATTGCAAATGATGACTTTTTTTTAGTTGCGGTCATTACTTAATGAACATCCCATGCATTTTTGTGCAATTCCAATCAGAATATTTTTCTTACCTGAGGGGCGTAAATGCGAGGCGGTGGCTCCCTATTCATCATATATGGCCTGATCCCATTTCTCCTCGAATCTTGAACTTCTTGTTTTGAGGATATATTTCTCGTAGGAATTTTATCCTATGGAATCAATCGAACGAAGAAATCGTGAAAATTAGAAGGAAATAAATACTGCGACAATAGGGGTCAAATGGGACCCCTATTCCCAATAGAGTGGCAAATGCGTGGAATGCGTTACACGACGTAGTGGTTGCCTCGTGCTGTGACCATTTTTAGAAGAAACTAGATGCTTTTATGACAAGCAAGAAAGGGAGGGGGGCAATATTGTCGTAAGGGATAAGGCAGTGAGCACTGGGATATGCTAAATATAACAAATACAATAATACAAAAATAGTTCGCTTGAAGAGACTTACCTTAAAATTAAGGAACACTCGACCTCACACATGGTACCCGAATAGGTGTTATCGCCTCTTGATACCACTAAACTACCTTGATACATTGAGACCTTAAACAATCTCGCCATTTCCATCATTCTAACAGGTTTTTCTTTTTCAACCAGCCCCAGTTTTCAGAATGTCTTCGGTTTTTCGCTACGATTTCCCTCCTAACCATACTGTGGTTAGCCTTTTATCGAACCCGAGGAGAAGAGAGAAGATGGGGAAAGTCTGAAATCCCTTCTCGACCCAGTAACAGCCAAGAATCGCACGAAACAGGGCATCTTCATCCACTCGAATAGGAAGCCGGCGGACGATGCAACCGGCCGACTTCCGTGCCGCTCCTCCCCCCAAACCATGCAAGCGAAGAAACTGCGAGCCGGACCTTCACCCGTTCGCGACGAGGGAACGCCTGCCTCCTCTTGTCACCTATAGGATTCCTATATATTCCTAAAGGAATATATAGGAATCCTATAATGCATTTTCGTAAGGGTAATGTAAAGCGTGGTAGGTTCTTCCAGTTCGATGGCAGCAAGAGAACGAAAGATAATCAGCTCGAGTTGAGTAAACCGCGGGTGCGGCTCAGGTCGAGACAGGACGTTTTCACTTGTACTGTAGAGTGGCAAATGCGTGGAATGCGTTACACGACGTAGTGGTTGCCCCGTGCTGTGACCATTTTTAGAAGAAACTAGATGCTTTTATGACAAGCAAGAAAGGGGGGGGGGGCAATATTGTCGGAAGGGATAAGGCAGTGAGCACTGGGATATGCTAAATATAACAAACACAATAATACAAAAATAGTTCGCTTGAAGAGACTTACCTCAAAATTAAGGAACACTCGACCTCACACATGGTACCCGAATAGGTGTTACAGCCTCCTGATACCGCTAAACTACCTTGATACATTGAGACCTTAAACAATCTCGCCATTTCCATCATTCTAACATGTTTTTCTTTTTCAACCAGCCCCAGTTTTCAGAATGTCTTCGGTTTTTCGCTACGATTTCCCTCCTAACCATACTGTGGTTAGCCTTTTATCGAACCCGAGGAGAAGAAAGAAGATGGGGAAAGTCTGAAATCCCTTCTCGACCCAGTAACAGCCAAGAATCGCACGAAACAGGGCATCTTCATCCACGCGAACTCCTTCGGCCGCCTGCTACGTTGGCCGGCTGAAGGCACGGCGAGGAGGGGGGTTTGGTACGTTCGCTTCTTTGACGCTCGGCCTGGAAGTGGGCAAGCGCTGCTCCCTTGCGGACGGAGGAGAACAGCCCGAGCCGCCAGGGCCCACCCGCCCCTCCTCGTCCCGTTCCCCATTCCTTCATTCGCCCCTGCGTGCTCCT